GCTGTTATACTACACCAATTTGTTTGTGTTGACATATACTCATATCGACCTTAATCTAATAAAAAAAAGGTTTAAGTTTCATGTTTGCTAATGTTTTAAACACGTATTTAACATAGATACCTCTTCATGGTGTTGCGTTTGGTTGGGTGTGATAAAGTTCTGGAGGCTTAAAATAATACTGTACTGCCTCCTTCTACTGGACACAACAGGAACAACAGGGGCGTAAAACTGCCTGGGCCGTAAAACTGCTTGGGCCGTAGATCTGTCTAGATCCAATTCTGCAGCCTCCCCCTACTCTCTGTTCATCAGTGTTTGAATTCAGTCATTGTGATCATTCACTCTGTCTAGTGGACTAAACTAATCGACTAATTTAGGGACTAGTAAATGAGGGTGTATAGTGAGATTTCAGACACTGATTACATTCTGGAAGCAAATGTTAGATCTGTTATTTGTTATTTTGTATTTTGCACAGAAATGAGCTGTTAATCATTTAACAGATTTTCACTGTGGACTTTACAGAATTTTACTGTTAAAATCACCCATATTTTTTCAGTGCATTGAACATATTTTGCAGCATTTTTTAAATTTTTTACTGTAATCTTCCTCCTTTGATTCCAATATATTGAGAGCGATTGTTGTGGTTTGAATCTTCCTTCCTCTGTTGTTTTGAAACAACTAACCTATTGACTTAAATGTGGTACTGCAGAAGCAACACAACTCCCTTTTATTCTTCTATAAAAGCGAGCTGTTTAAAATTGAAAACATACTTTTTCTATTTTTTTCCAACACAACTCTTTAGTTTTAATAGACAAAAATAAGTGAATTGTTTAATTTAAACATAGTTACATTCTTTGGACCAACTAAAGCCATAATCCATTTCTTTTGTGTAAGTCCCTTTATTAATCTGGGGTTGCCACAGCGGAATGAACCGGCAATCCGGAATGAACTTATCCAGCACATGTTTTACACAGCAGATGACCTTCCAGCTTGGAAACACCCATACATTCTTCACACACATACACTACAGAGTACAGACAATTTAACTTACTCAATTCACCTGTACCGCATGTCTTTGGGCTTGTGGGGGTAACCAGATCACCCAGAGGTATACGTCACTGATCCTAATGGACAGATATATTTGAAAAAAACCTAATCTAAGAATCTAATGTGATACCAGAATTTTTTATTTTATTTTTTATGCATGCTCTATCCCAGACAGCACACATACGTTGGGCCGACGTCGGCCGAAGGTCAACACGTCGGCCCCTTTAATTCTAACATCGGTATATGGTCGGCCAAACATACGCATGATCGTTCGGTCGTGTGTTCTATTGTTCCAGCTCAACAAACGTCGGCTCTGCGTCGGTTAACGACCAGAGGCCGACGAAGCACTTCATAAGCACTTGATCTCTCATGCCCATGAAAGAATCCGGCAACATATTTGGTTTACAAGTAAGTTTTTGCGTGCATAATAAATTAGACAAACGCGACATGCATCATGTGTACTGCGTCGGTCGGTCCAGCTTTAAATAGCCTACATTAATGCAGTAAAACTGACCAAAATGCCTACAATACATGATTTCAATTCATTAAAATATAAAAAGTTTTATTGTTATGCTTTAATAATGAAAACGTTGTTTTTTTCTGGTGTTAACTGCTGTTTGCTTTTTTTTATTGTGGCTTTTTCTAATACATTTTTCCCAGTGTAAAAATCAAGTATGTTCTGCATTTCGGCTGTTTAATTAAAATAAACACCTTTTTACAGAGTGACATCTTTGTTTTATATATACTTGCATTTATATTTATTGGTTATTTATTTTTGACAGTGAATGCACAAATAAAGTGATTGTTTTGTAACAGTTTAGTAGGCTATAAAGCTCGTCTTAAAGATAATAGCGTATATAAAACTGCTAAATACATTTTAAATTCAAGATTTAAAATACAAGGTTATTATTTAAATTGTCTATGGAGTGATCATGTTTATAAATGCAATACTTCAAGACTTTAATGTGCGCGCGCGCGTCTCATTCCAACATTGGAGCGGAGGGGATGTTGCTATGGGAAACAAAGCTACAACACGACACGACACCACCTAAAAGACACAACACGACTTCTCTCAAGCTGCCGTTTTGACTGTTTTCAGGTAAGTTTAGTCCCTAAAACAAACCAAATACTACATAAAACTGTTCCTCACACATTTATTATTAGCAATTGATGAATATTCAGTTGAATATTATGTTATATAAGAGTGGTAAGTCTTCGTAAAAGTCCGTTAGCATATTAGCACTGGTAACGTTAGCGTCGGGGTTACTTAATGTTAGCTATTGTTAAACTTGTTTGTTAAAGTTTTGGCTTTTATTTATTCTTTATGTGTAGATGAGAGGTTTTGTCAATGTTTTATTGAATGCACTCCATATGTAGTCTAAAATACGCATTGTAACGTTACTGTAAAGGACCGTGAATCAAAAGTTCAATCGTGTTTTGATATTTCATGGTATCTTAAACTAAATGTTAAGTAAAAAAGTGTTCTGTGGTTTCAGGAGTGAGAGAATAACCTCCTGCTACAGAAAATATAACTCAAGATTCCTAAATTTCTGAAGGGAGCTGATCACAGAGATACAGGAAAGACAGGTAACGTTAACTTTAAGCAGAGGAATAATTCATATGAATTTCCATTGCACATCATTATGCACATGTTACATGTCTATATATTATGCATCTGTTACTTGTCTTTATTGCAGTTGTTTTAAGAAAGTTTTGACATTGAAACATGTGAGTGGTATTAAATTTCACATCACATGATTCTTCAGAACTTAGTAAATATATAGATTTGCTGCTAATGAAGTAATATTTGTGATTTTCATTTTGTTTAATTTTTTAGGATTAATTGATTTATTAAATCTTTGAAAAAAGTTTACACTAAATTATTTGTCATCACATATGTTTTTAGCATTGATAGCAATCAGAAATGTTTCTTGAGCAGCAAATCAGCACCATTTGATAATCACCATTATATTAGTTCAACCTCAAGCACTAAATCAACATCTTAAAAAAAGATTTCTGAAAGATCAAGTGACACTGAAGACTTGAGTAATGATGCTGAAAATTCAGCTTTACATCATAGCTATGAATTACATGTATATTTACACCGTTCACCCATCCCTTACACCTTAACTCATCCTCAAACAAGTCAATTTAAGCCCTAAATGAATAAATTTTGATTTGTACAGGCATGATATGCAACTTGTATTCAGTTGTTTTGTTTTTTCTTTCTTTTGATTTTGTTTTCCACATCAACTGAAAAGGAGGTCAAAGTTTAACCTAAGTGCCGTGTAGCTGATGAACATCTTTTTATGTAAGTATATTTTTGACTGACTGCCAGACACTTGTCAAACAGTGATGAGCAAACGAGGGGCCGTTCTTTTAAAAAGATCAGGGAGATGCAATTCTGGAGATTAATATACATTTTAATTCAAAATTGATTTATCTGGAAATATTTCATAATGTTTTGAGATGTGCCCTATATGCATTTAGATGTCCATCCATGTTTAAAATACTTTTAAATTTAACAACGGCTGCAAGTTATAAAAATGTTAAAGTAAATTGAGAAAACATTTTCATCAGTTTGACAACATACACAATCTCACAAATAGCATAGAAAAAGTGACAAAGCTGTTTTCTTTGTCTGTGTTTTATTACTCTCTTTCGCACTCTCGGCCACTGTATGTAACAGTAATTAGTATAATGTAACAGTAGACAGATGAGGAATGTGAATATGTAGTTTAACTTTAAGGAGCGTTACTACTGGAACCATTTTTTATATATATTATATTTTTATATACATTTTATATATATATATGTGTGTGTATATATATATGTATATGTGTGTGTATTGATTTCCCGTTTAAAAAAATTAAGCAAAAAAATAATTATAAGGTAGATCAGCTCCTGACAGACATGTTAACAGATCAGTTTAACTCTTATTAAATTCATTCATTAATTTTCTTTTCTGCTTAGTCCCTTTATTAATCTGGGGTAACCACAGCGGAATGAACTGTCAACTTATCCAGCATATGTTTTACGCAGTGGATGCCCTTACAGCTGCAACCCATCACTGGGAAACAACCATATACGCTTATTCTCACTCATACATCACAGACAATTTAGCCTACCCAATTCACCTGTACCCCATGTCTTTGGACTTGTAGGCAAAACCGGAGCACCCAGAGAAAACCCACGCAAACGCAGGGAGAATTTGCAAACTCCACACAGAAATGCCAGCTGATCCAGCTGAGGCTCGAGTCAGCATCCTTGCTGTAAGGCGACAGCACTACCTATTGTGCCACCACGTCACGCTCTTATTAAATTATATTTATATAATGTTGTGTTTCAGTACAAGCTATTTTGGGAAGACAAAATATATTCATAAGCTCTCAGAAAATTCAATAAGAGAATTAACTACACAATTACTTGAAATGCGTGGATGGGATTACATTATTTGTTAACCCTAAGTGAGTTTCTCTTTCTTTGCAGTATTGGATGCGTGATTGCAGTTCAACTCCAAACTCAGTTGGACCAGCTGATCTGTGTCTTCAGTATTACCACAAGTTACTGGGCAGATGTGTGGACAGCTATGAGCCAAAGTTGGGACGTTTGGTTTTTAGGTAATACCAGTGACAAAGTATTCAGTAAATTGCTTATAATAAAAGATGTTTACTGCTTACCCCCTTCTAGTTAAGTTGTTTGCAGTTTTATTGTTGTAAAAATACCATACTTTTTCCTTTTTTTATCAGCAGGTGGAGAGACCGTCTGGGCAGCAGAAACAAGACAACTAATCATAGGTGAGTTGAGATTAGTATTATTAACTTGACTAGTTTGGTTGTAGACTTGTTCAATACTTAACAATTTGTATAAGTTACAAGATCAATGGTCCTGCTATCAATGTTTTTGTAACTTAAATTTATTACAGTTTAGATACAATCAAATGTCCAAACCATCTCTGAGTGAATGACATCAAGGAAACAGGATCAAAAGATCATTCATTATAGACCATTTCATAGGTAACAGCACATCCTTTGTGAAAAATAATTTATTTTTGTGTCATCATCACAAGACAAAATACATTTCAACTGATTTCAGTTGGTTATATTTTTCAGGTCATTCTGTTCTCCTGGTGGTGAGGATGTGCAGAGGCTGTATTTGTCAGTGTTAACAGACTTGTGCAGCTGTATCCACACATACAAGGAGCCGACAAAGAGTTCTGGAGCAGGACAGACAGGTAGTTCACAGTTGCTAGGCTAGAAGTTTATACTTGGGTGGCCAGAGAGTGGCCTCCGCTATTTTGGGGGGTCCATACAAATACACCAGTGTAAGCTATACTATTGCACTGAAAAAATTAAATGAAAGAATTAATTAATCGGTTGAACACAAAATATTTTAAAGAAAGCTTAAGTATCAAGGTGGCAATATACAGTATCTGTTACATTGTAGTACATGAGCTGGCTAATACAGACTCGTAAATGTTTAGTTGTTAAGATTAGTTAAATACTAAATCCTATACTTGAGACCGGCTGCATATATAGCTTTAACTGAACTGAATTTAACTAGAACTACACCAGCATTCCAAGTGCTCTAGACTAGCTTTTTAATAGTCCAACATTATCTACAGCAGCAAAAGACCCTCCACATCAAAAGCTACTGGTCAGTTCACGATTCAGCAAACATCTGAAAAACAAATAGCTTATTATGCCTTCACAAGAATTCAGTGTTTTAATGAAGAGTCTAATGAAGATAGTACTATTTTATTAAATTATTATTTAGCCTGGCATGTTTACTGTTACAAAATATTTTAAATGTTTCTTAAAATAAAACATATTGTGTTCAATGGGGAAAAAGTAGCTGTTTTTTACACAGAGATAAAAAAACACATTTCAGAGCAGTAAGCACAATACTGTGAAACTGTGATATTTTTATCCAAGATTATACCCTCAGGATCTTATACCTGCCCATTCCTAGCCAGTTACTTCAAGCATTCAGTCAGAGTTTTTTTGTTTTGTTTTTTTTCAGTTGGCCTATATTCTGTTTTTCTATGTTCTTGGAAATGCTGCTGTGCATGAAAATGTGACGATATATCCAGGTTCTATAGTTAATTCTGAAATAAATCTTAAAATGAAACAATATTTAAAAATGCAATATTTAATGTGTCAGACACTAAATAAACATGTCAATTCATTTATATTAATCTGATTCCTTAACAGGGCAGCACGGTGGCGCAGAGGGTAACACGTTTGCCTCACAGCAAGAAGGTCGCTGCTTCGAGCTTCGGCTGGGTCAGTTGGCGTTTCTGTGTGAAGTTTGCATTCTCTCCCCGTGTTGGCGTGGGTTTCCTCCAGGTGCTCCCGTTTTCCCAAGTCCAAAGAAATAGGTGAATTGGGTATGCTAAAATTGACCATAGTGTATAAGTGTGTGTGAATGAGTGTGTATTGGTTGCAGCTGGAAGGGCATCCGCTGCGTAAAACATATGCTGGATAAGTTGGCCTTTCATTCTGCTGTGGCGACCCCAGATTAATAAAGGGACTAAGCCCAAAAGAAAATGAATGAATGAATCCTTAACAGTTAATATTGGTATAATGAGCAGCAGTTGTCATTTATGTAAATTAACCACTTGAGCGTGCCTAGTTTGGGGTATGTTGTGCCATTAAATTGTCATTAGGTTTTATTTTTTTTCTTTAAATCTGCTTTAGCTTTCTTCTTTCCTATAAACCTGGAAATATAAAATATATATATTTTTGGTTTTTAACAAATTGCTTATTTTATTCTTAGATTGGTGTACACTGATGGTCTGCTGAGAATTCTGCTGAGTTGAAGGGATCCTCCTTTCAGACAACCTCTCCAAAGTACAATAGGACTAGTAAGTAACATCTTAAACATACAATACTGTTTCATAGCTTTTAGGTTGGTATGGTAAATTCTCTTCTGATAGTGTCAGCTTTATTTAATTAATACAGTCAAGCAGTAATACTGTGAATTTAATACAATGTATATAATTAACACATGATCCTTCTGAAAAAATAGTATTCCAATGTACTGATTCTCTCCTCAAGCTGTTTTTTTTATATAAAACATTTTAAATAAACATTTTTAGTATTCTTGATGTATGAAAAGTTTATTTTTAAGAGCATAGTATTTATTTGAAAAAAAAAAGTTTGCTCTTTGATGATTGCTAACAATCAGACATGTTTCTTTAGAACAAAAAGAATTTGTGCAAAAAAGTATTCTCACTGAGCGTTGTCCAACTGTGGTCCAACACGTCATTTAAGTTTTCAAATAAGCCTAAAAGACTTGATTAGCTGCATCAGGTGCATTTAATTAGAGAGTTGAATATATCATTTCTTTATATATCCTCCTCTATAGCCTACATATAATAGAAGTTGTTTGCTGAAAAACTTTTTTGTAGCAGAAATAAAGCTATGATTAGGCCCACCCGGATTTTTCGCAGAACTCCGCAGATGTTTGTTCATTAATTCTGTTTATTTACTTGAGTAAATGTGTGTAAATCTATATTTATTCAGTTTTTTAATTAATTTCAGTAATATTATTGACTAATGTGAAAATGTTCATCTGATTTATGTACAATGAGGTTTGTACAGTAATATTTTCTGTCTTACTAGATATGTTATATGGAAAACTTGCTTTATTTACCAAATAAAGTGAATCTAATTGGATTTGCATTTTAAACATTAAAGAAAACTTAAAAATATATTATTTTTTTATTTCATATATTAAGGTTTTAGTTATGATACTCCCAAAATAATTCCGCAGAAATCCGCAGACTTCCACCAAAACTTTCAGCAGAAATAGCAAAAAACATCTGCAGATTCCTCCTGGCCCTAGCTATGATATATTAAATGTGGTGTACAGTGTGACATTTTAGTTGACGAAACTTAGTTTAATTTGCATGTAATGTGGTATCTGAAGATTAGACATATATTTAGATACACATTTATACTAACACAATGATACTAAAAACCAAAAAAAACATTCATTATGATTTCACAAGGAATTTAACTTTCAAATGGCTTTTCTGAAAATTAGTGCTCAGACACACTCTTTAAGTTTTAATTAAATGACACATTTTAGCTAGGCACTTGCATAACACATACTCCAGTTTTATGTCATGAAACAAATAATATATATTTGTGGTAATATGAACTGCTGCAATGCTAATCTTTCTCCTTTTGGTTTCTTGCTTTATTTAAGGGTTCCCACCACAAGGATTAGATTTGGCTACTGCAGTCGCGGTTTGGGCCAGCCTCACTTGTGAAGACTAAAGATGAAGACAACATACAAGAACAATTTAGAGGATGGCGACACACTTTTTATTCCACCTATATATCCCCTTTTATGTGTAAGCAACATTCCACAAGATAAAACAAAACTAAATGACAGGTTATTTCTTTTCATTTTGTCTGTTTTCTTGGAACATTGTACACAATTTACAACCAGTTATATATATATATATATATATATATATATATATATATATATAGGTCAGAGCAAGAAAATGTTATTTTTTCTTCTGGAGAAAGTCTTATTTATTTTATTTCGGCTAGAATAAAAACAGTTTTGAATTTTTAAAAAAACATTTTAGGGTCAATGTTATTAGCCCCTTTAAGCAATTTTTTTCGACTGTCTACAGAACAAACCATTGATATACAATAACTTGCCTAATTACCCTGACCTGCCTAGTTAAGCTAATTAACCTAGTTAAGCCTTTAAATGTCACTTTAAGCTGTATAGAAGTGTCTTGAAGAATATCTAGTCAAATATTATTTACTCAGTTATTAGAAATGAGTTATTAAAACTATTGTGATTAGAAATGTGTTAAAAAATATATCCGTTAAACAGAAATTAAGGGATTATATATATATATATATATATATATATATATATATATATATATATATATATATATATATATATATATGACAAAATCTGTTTTGTGTCGTGCATTGGAGTTTGCATAAAAAAACTGGTTATCTCTGAGAAAGTATTGTTATTTTATATTATTGATGTGTTATTAGTTCAGAGGAGATTGCAAATTGTTGAATGCCATTTATAAAAAAATTGTAAAAAAAAAAAATTGACTACAGACTTTAATAAGATTTTATCAGACAATTATTTGTATGATTTTATTTACTACTGTAAATATTGTTTGCTTGGTATTTATTTTGTGTTTGTGTACTCTTTTATTATTGTAACTCCCTGAAGAAAGTCTTTTGGATACTGAACACATGACTGGTATTATCATGACTGGTATTAAAATTATAGTCTTGGAAACATGCATTTTCTTTAACACTATTTAAGAAATTATAAGCATTATAACATGTGCTTACACAAGTTAATTGTGTTTTTACTATAGTAAACTATAGTCTCCCTTAGTGTACATGTTTTGAAGTACTTGTAAATATTCCTGTGGTCTTTATATAAATGCTGCAATGGACTTTGTATTTAAAATCTTTATTGCACAGTAGTTCAGCCATGGTTATAGTACAACTTGTTGGTTTTGTTTTAAACGTGGTAAAACATGGTTATGTGTGATAAAAGTATGTTAATCTATTTGTATGTTTGTGAAAATATTAATAAATCTTCAACTGTTATTGAGAGAGGTGTGTCGTGTTTATTATAAATAAGCAGCTGTTGCAGCTAGTGGTCCATAAGTATGAGCAAAACGCCTGAGAACAGCGCCTCCGCGGCGCGGCCGGTATTTCCGGTTGCGTCGTCCTAACATCGGCCGGACAGCGTTTCCGATCATTTGCCGACGTCGCGGCGACATTTTGCCAATTAGCAAACGCTCCCTGAGCGACATCGCGCCGATGGAATTTTGAAAATCGGCACGACGTCGGCCCAACGTATGTGTGCTGTCTGGGATAGTACTAGTTTTGTATGACTGTTACATATGCTATTCTACAATGCTGTAGTAGGTGTTAGTCAGTTATAGGCTATAATAATAATAATAATAATAATAATAATAATAATAATAATAATTACAACAACAATAACAGTAATAATAATATTTGTTAAGAAGAAGAAGAACAAGGAGGAGGAGAAGGAGGAGGAGGAAGAAGAAGGGGAAGAGGCGTCCCCTAGCCTGCCGGATACCTGAACGAAGCCTAGTCCATCGGTAGATCGTTGCGTGAAAGTGGGTTTGCCATCTGCCATAAAATATCATTAGAAGAAGAAAGTCGCGTGGATTAGGTAATGTAGTTCTTGTAACTATTCAATACTCGTGATGTATTGTAACGATATTTAGTTACAAAGGAAACCATGCTGTTTTTAAATTAACGTATTTATTTATTTGTTTTTTACAAAACGCTCATGACCGCGCGTTGGTAGCCTGGATGCTAGCAGGCCTCATATAAGCCGCCTGTAAATTTACCGCTTTAAGCAACTTACTGTAAATAGCTAAAATTAAAATAATTTGGGAAAGTGGCCAATCTTTTTTGCGGGTACTGATACTGTTGTGATGTTGTTATCGTTTAATAGTTTCTTTTATTATTATTGTTGCCCGTTCTGCTCAGTTTTGTTAGCTTAGCGTAGCTTTTGTACACAAGATTTATAACGTTACGTAGAGTTTTGCATTTGTTTTTATTGATAACGTTAGGGGAAATAAGTCGACGAAAGAATGGTTTTAATGTCATTGTTAGACTAACGTTATATATAACTATATATTTATAAGTATTTTGTTCCTAAGCTAGTACAAACAAATGGATTCAAGTGGTCTGACTATATAAGTGTAACGTTACGATTATAAGACAGTATTTTACGTTACCTGACGTTCTAGTAATGATTCTTTTCTTTCAGACTGAACATTAGAAGCTGTAAAGTGTCTACATGGCCGTCAGAAGAGGACACATAAGGTATTTGAAAGTATGTATACATTATTTCTTATTGTTTATTAAAGATTAAAAGATAAAGGTATTTTCATATATATATATATATATATATATATATATATATATATATATATATATATATATATATATATATATACACACACACACACACACACACACACACACTCACTCACTTTTGCTCTGTTGTCCTTGTATATGCTTTAGGGCTGCTCGATTTTGGGAAAAATCATAATCACGATTATTTTGGTCATAATTGTAATCACGATTATTCCTAACGATTATTAGTTGAAGTCAAAATTATTAGCACTCCTGAGATTTTTTTTTAAATAAATATTTCCCAAATTATGTTTAACAGAGCAAGGAATTTCCTGTAATATTTTTCTTCTGGAGAAAGGCTTATTTGTTTTGTTTTGGTTAAGCTTTTGAATCACACTTTGAATTTGAATGTTTGTGTTTAAAAAAATATCTACTAAAATATTATGAGCTGTCATCATAGCAAAGATAAAATTAATCGGTTATAAGAAATGAATGATTAAAACTATTATGTTCAGAAATCTTCTTTTCATTAAACAGAAATTGGGGGGGAAAGGTTGCTAATATTCTGAAGGGCTAATAATTCTGACTTCAACTGCATATATTATTTTCCTCTCTGCAATGGCAAGAGAAATAAATACAATAGAATAAAAATATGAAACAACCTGTGCTTTTAGCATCTTCACCGTAAGAAAAACACTTAAGCTACAAAAGTCTTCAGTCAAGAGCAAAAAGGAATTTTCTCGTTGTTTTATTAATCATGATAAAACAGGCGGCAGCTGTGCTCTGTCACTTTAATGGTTTCTCTTTCATGTGTCTTTTGATTTTCAACTCGTTTGTTTATTACAAAATGAGGGTTAATATGAATAATCACTAAACACCGCGTTTTGACACCTATTTGAACATTAAAGCGCTCGCGTTAATGACTTTAGATGCGTGGTTATCTCTGCTCGTCACAATGTGCGAATAAGACCCAGTGCAGACCGCATGCTTCTGACTGTCTGCACGCCGCACATACATAAGCATGCAGTCTTTCGCGCTATTAAGAGCAACAAGTGAGGACAACTGGACAGAGGGTGGTAAATAATGGAATAATCGTTTATCTTGATTAATGGTTTTTAATAATCGTTAGAAGGCATAATCGAAATTGGATTTTCGATTAATTGCACTGGCCTAATATGCTTGTAGATTATTATATTTATAGTGATGCACTGGGCGAAGCAGTTGGTAGTGCTGTCACAGCAAGAAGGTCGTTGGTTCGAGCATTGGCTCAGTTGGCGTTTCTGTGTGGAGTTAGCATGTTATTTCTGCGTTCGCATGGGTTTCCTCCGGGTGTGCCGGTTTCCCCCACAGTCCAAAGACGTGGTACAGGTGAATTGGGTTGGCTAAATTGTCCTTAGTGTTTGAGTGTGTGTGTGGATGTTTCCCAGATATGGGTTGTGGCTGGAAGGGCATCCGCTGCGTACAAACTTGCTGGATAAGTTGGCGGTTCATTCCGCTGTGGTGACCCAAGATTTATAAAGGGACTAAGCCGGCAAGAAAATGAATGAATGAATGGTGATGGACTGCTTAAGGCTGATTTATACTTCTGCGTCAAACACTGGCGTATGCTACGGCGCTGACGCATAGCCCTTCGCCGTGGCCGTCGCCGTCACTGACGTGCACCTCTCAAAAAATGTAACTAGACGTCGCAACAACACATAGCGCAAGCTCTGTGATTGGTCGGCTTGGTAGCGCTGACCGAGAGCTGAACGAATGGCGCGAGCGATTGTTTTCAAGTGTGGAGTCCCGTGAAGGAGCTCCGGATGGAAAGCTTTGTTTTGTGTTTACCTCATAGTTAAAGTTGTTGCACGTCCGCCGGTTCCTGCCTCAAAATGAGCGAGTTTGAGCCACTTGTACATCCCGGAAGTGTTCAGGAAAAGCAAAAAAGCAGCAAAGAAATGACACAGAGGAAGATTTACACCTCACTGCCAACTAGCGTTTCGGAAGTGTTAATGTAGACCAACAGAGACAGCGCGCAGAAGTATAAATGCACAGCCACGCATGCGCCGTGGGTTACGCCGGTCACTTGACGCAGAAGTATAAATCAGGCTTTAGAGAAATACTTGGTCACAGTCGAAATTATTATCCCCGTTATTTTATCTCACAATTTCTGTTAAAAGGAGAGAAGATTTTTTCAACACATATCTAATCATAATAGTTTTAATAACTTGACTCTAATAACTGATTTATTTTATCTTTGTCATGATGGCAGTAAATAATAGTTAAATAGATATTTTTTAAGACACTTAGGCCGCATTTACACCGCACTCAAGTGACTCAATTCTGATTTATTTATTTTTTCTCTCTAGTGGCACAGATTGGGTATAGCCCATGTACGTGTATTAGGAACAAATCACATGGATTCCGATTTACTCAAATCAGACTCAGGCCTTGTTCATATGTGGTAATTTATCCAATATGAGTCGGAACTGTGTTCTCATGTCTGCAGTGTAAGCAGGTAGATCGGATTTTCACCTGTCAATGTGAGTCGCGCGTCATTAAAACCCGCATGACGTCAATTCTGACACTTTCTTTTCAGAACAGACTTCAGCAGAGTCCCAAACCTTAAATCTCATTTATGGGGACTAAAACAGCTTTTATATTGTCATATAGCACAGGTATTTAAGCATGTTAACAAGAGCAAGAGAACGCAATGTCCGCCACGGAAACAATTTAAAGTAATATAAATCTATTGCTTACATCACGTGCATAAATCACACCATGAACATTACATTAAGGTGCAGAAGATCAGATACAAGTCACTTTTAAAAGATGATGTTGGCAGGTCATCAAAAAAAATCTGATACAGTCACAAAATCAGAATTGGCCATCAAGATCTGCAGTGTAAATGCAGCCTTATTAACAATCTAAAGTGAAAAAATCGAGAAAAAACCAAACGATACCCAACCCTAGCCACAGTGCATGAGGAATGCAAGAGACGGTCCAAACTAATAAGACATTTGCAGAGGACTCATCCCCAATACTGCAAGGTGTACCCAATACAAATGGCCTTCTGATGTTTTGCTTTTATATTTTACATTAGGCTATTATTTGTGCATAAACATATCTAGATATATTAATAAACCATCTTTTTTTTTGACATACCTATCGCAAACTTATAAAAGCAATAATATTATTAAATGTGGAGGGGGCGTTACAATATTTTCCAGGGGAAAAGGGGGGTCTCAGGCAAAAAAAGAAATTAGTAACCACTATGGATGTAACGTTTTTAGAATTTCATGGTACGGTAATACCTCGGTATGAATGGCACGGTACGGTATTTATTCAGTAATTTACAGGAAACAAAACTAATGAAAAGACTCGAAAAAAATGCCAAAAGTACTTATTTACCTTAACACTGAACATATCAATGACATACAAATTAGCCGTCTATCTGTAAGTTTTGAAACAGGAACTTAAATTTTTAAATTTTAATAACAAAAAACTATAAAACCATGTAAAAAAAATACAGTTTCAATTTAGTATTGTTGAAAAAACATCACATTAAACATTTAATCACTCACTCACTCACTTAGATAGAGATGGGTTTTTTTTTTTTAAGGAAATCATCGTATAAATATAATCTGGCAAATCTGGGATCTCTGGGCATTAACAATGTCCCCTGCAACAGAAAAAAACCCTCTCATTTGGGACTGAGGTTTCTGGGACAGAGAGATATGATTTAGCCAAGGTTGACCGCAGTGGGTAACGCTGTGCATTGTCTTTCCAACACTTGAGAGGACAAGCCATGAGTGAGATAGAGGTCTCTTTGCGGTACAAGTCAATGTCTGCATCAATCTAACAAGTGTGCTGTGTTCTGCAGTCCCCATGACTGTTTTTAGCTGTATTCCCCGACTTATATTTCACCACAGTCTGGCAGTGCCTGCATACCGTTTTTTTCTTTGTCTGTCACCTTTTCTCCTTTTTCGTATCTTTTTTGAAAGAAACTGAAATACTTCCACACGTCCGATTTAAAACCCGCTTTAGGTTCGATCATTTCCAGCTCTTTTTCTTCCCCGCTACTAGCAACACACATTACACACATTACTGGATCTGTAGTAACAACAGACTGCAAAGGATGATGGCCACGCCTAAGCTGATGGGAATTGTAGTTCCCGCTACCTCCTGTTCACTTCATTCGCCTAAGCAAACTTTTCTCAGAAATATAGTTTTATTGAGTCATGCGCCTACGGTAATATTGAAAAAAATTACTATTGCTGTATGACGGTATTTACAATATTGTTACATCCCTAGTAACCACTGGCATAGATGGCATCATGAAGAAAGAACATTATGTAGAAATACTGAAGCAACATCTCAAGACATCAACCAGGAAATTAAAACTTGGCCACAAATGGGTCTTCCAAACAGACCATACTGCTATAAGTATAAGCATACTGCTAAATTAGTTAAAATGTTTTTAAAGGAAAAACAGAGTGAATGTTGGTCATCACAAAGCCCTGACATCAATCCTTTAGAAAATTTATAAGCAGAGTTGAAAAAGCTTGTGCAGGCAAGACAGCCAACAAATCTGACTCGGTTGCACCAATTCTGTCAGGCGGTACGGGCCAAAATTCCTTCAAACTATTGTGAGAAGCTTGTGTAAGGATACCCAAAACATTTGACCAAAGTTATACAGTTTAAAAGCAAAGCTAAAAAAATACCAAGGAAATGTATGTAAATTTCTTTTTGTTTTTAAACTCTCTAGAAATTAATAAATTCTCAAAACAAATTCTCTCGTTATTCTTGCATTTAACAAATGTAAATCATTTAGGTCATCCTAATGGACCTAAAATGGTAAATGTTAAGTATTATTTATCATCAGACATAAAAAAAATGGTTATGTTCCTTTTTTTAGAGTGTATGTAAACTTCTGGTTTCCACTGTGTCCCTCTCTCTCTCTCTCTCTCTCTCTCTCTCTCTCTCTCTTTCCATCTC